CTACGATGTTAATGAAGTGAATAATAGCTTGGGAGTTCTTTCTCGCACGATACATTTTGTTGACTTTGTGTTGACTGTACCTGCTTCTTTCTCGTATGGAAATTCATTTCTTGCTGGTTTTATTTTCACTTTAGGCTATTTTATTGTTTTTCCTTGAGGGAAATTCAGAGTGTAAGTTGGAACAATTTTGTTGATCTTTGTACTAGTTGATAGGGGAGGGTTGTAATATTCAGACTTTGTTGATTTCGGTCGTCAAATATAAGTTTGTTGGTTGTTTTTGACATGGAAGCTTTAAGTTATAGTTTCATTGATGTTTGAAGTCTGCAAAGTATCGGCTAAAGAAGTGTTGTCAGAATGGGGTGATGTTTAGATAGTTTTTTTTTTAGCTAAAGGTGAACTAGTTGATCAAGAGTGTCAGCGTCAATTTTAAAAAGAGAAGAAAAGTTTATTACATTTTTGGAAGTTTCAAATGATTAATTAATTAGAAAGGGGTTTTTGAAATTCAACTTTCTTTAATATTTTAGATTGTGGAACGAAAGTTTTGTAATCTTTAAGTGGTTGACTTCTGAGTGATGTTGATTGTCGTTGTTGAGATTTATCTTTTGTTTCTTGTGATAAATTTGTTTCTTCTAATTTTCTATTTTTTCTTTGTTTTTTGAGGTATTTGCTTATTACATATTTCTTGATATTTTAAACCGGTATTTTAAATTTTCCTATTTTTTTGGTTATCATAGTTTTGTTGAACAATTTACATCATGTGTTTGTTGGTGATTATCGTCTGAGTTGTCGTGGACAACCTTGAGTCATGTAAAGGAGTATAATTGTGTTAGTTCGCGAAGAGCGTGTTCTTTTGGGTAAAATGGTAAAAGAATGTTTCTGTGTTGAACTAATTCCTTTTTATTTGAATCAATAAGTTTGTATGTTACATCAGTGGGTTCTAGCATAAGTTCCGATTTTTAAGTTTTAGCAGGTGTGAATCGTGAATTTGTTTATGATTGAACATTCTGTCTTTGTGATGGTTTTTTGATTATTTTTTGATAAACTTCATTGTGTTTTTGTCTCTATTTAAATGCAATTCGGTATGTGTGCCAAAGCTATTTTTAAAAGTTCGTGTAGTGGTAACTTATAACAAATTGATTTTTTTGTAGGTTGGAGGGTGTAGATATTCTGGGGTTGAGAATTATCATGGTATCCCGCAGTTTTTGATCCTCCAAAATCCGTCAAAATTTGTTTTGTGTATCTTAGTCTGGAAACTGCAGAACAATCCGACAAGTTTTCAATTTTTTCTGCAGATCCTAATAATCACCAGAAAAGTTTTTTAGCTCATATCACATCGAGTTTTTTAGGCGGCTAAATTGTGGCAAAAAGTTCATGTGCCGTAATTACTTTAGTTTCGTTCACTCCGTGACAAAGTCCACACAAAAACTCCAATAAAGTCATCTTATTGGCATTTTATTTAACTATACTGCCCAAAATTTAACATTACTTAATGTTTGATATCGACAATGCAAATTTATCAAACTTTTGTCAAAATTTTATCAAATTTTTTTTAACATTTTTTTAAATTCGAGACCAGTTAAAAGACACTCGGAAGATTCACGCGTTTGCCCTGATATGTGAGCAGACTTGCTATGCAAAAGATGGTTGAAACTTTTTTTGTATATTTTGCAAAATTTATAACAGAGAAGTGGGTTCAATTCTCTATTCAGAAAAGCAGTGCGTGTAATAGTTGGAGGTATTACTCCAATGAGTGTGTTACTTAAAATAGCTTAGTCGTCGTCAATCAATTTATAAAGATCACTGTATGTGATAGCAATCAGCAACACAGTCAATTTCTAGTACTTCTATTTGTACTAAGAACTTTTTTATTTTTAAAGGAAAAATGAAATAATGACATCATAAGCGGATGGTGTGATCAATTTTCAGACTCAAACTTACGGTTTCAAAGCACAGCAAAATATTTGAAGGATTTTACGTTTTATTTTCAAAGTAAAGTCAATTTTTATAATGGCTGTATCTGTTCCAAAAACTATTATGAGAAAGTCCCCCAAAGGTACCTTTGCTTACTTCTATCATATGATTTGGTTATTACAAATCTTTCAGAAAAAGTAAAAAGAAAGCAGACAATACAGCTTGCTTTGATTCCTAATTGGAAACATTCTTATTTGTTCAATTTGTAACTTCAACTTGTTTAGCGATTTCAATCAATGACAATGTGATCAATTTCAATTGATCTAAAATGAATCCAACTCCAATTTTTCCATCTGAATAACTTTTCGCTTCTAATACTTAATGCATTTTTCTAGTTGACGTAAGTTTTTAAGGTAACCGTTATGTTTTCATCAGCTCTGTTTATTTTAAATCAGCACCTTATTATTCAGAGGCCAAATTGAGTTTTTTTGAAGTGTAAGCGGATTCCGCAACAAATATGCTACCCGCACCGGAGTTCCATGGATAATAATCGATTATTTTGAATTTTCGTGGTCTGTCTCAAAAAATTTCGATAATAATCGATTATAATCAAATAAAAATGGATTATAATGAAACTATTTTTCTAATCAATGAAATCCGAATAAAATTACAAAATAATCGATTATAATCCAATGAAAATGGATTATAATTTTTATTTTTTTATGTCAATGTAATCCATTATAATCGATTATAATTCATTGAAAATGGATTGTATTCCTAATACTTTTTATGACAATATAATCCACTATAATCGATTATAATCAATTATAATGGATTTTTTGAGAGGTTATTTGTAAAATTTACAACTTTCTTCAAAATTATCTCGTTTCTTGTTTAGTGCAGTTGCTACGTTATACTTTTCATAAAATGTTACATATCACGATAAAAGGTATATAATTTTTTGAACATAATATATATTGTGGTTTGAATGGTGTTTACCCCCCCCCCCCCCCCAGTTTACTTTACCCCCCCCCCCCCTCCTTCCCCCTGATTACTTTATCCCCCCCAGTTAACTTTACCGCCTTCCCCCTGTTTACTTCACACCCCCCATTTTCTTTAACTACCCCCTTTAAGCACAAGTGCCATTCGTTATTATTATCCTATTTATTGGTAGACTTTGGGGGAGTGGGTTTATGATTGACAACCCCCTCTCTTTAATTGCGGGGAGTTAAAAATTACTTGAGGGGGTGACGTTAGACATGGCATTTAATAAAAGACATGCATTCTTTTTGCAAATTTTCTGCAAAACTTGCAACAATTCTGCAAAAATAATCAAATTTAGTTCAAAAAATATAAGGTATTATAATCGATTATAATGGACTATCTTGTCTAAATTAGTCGATTTCAGTGCCAAAAATAATGGATTTTAATGGATTGTAATGGATTTTTATTCTTCAAAAAAAAATCAATTTTAATGACCACATAATCGGTTACGTGGTCTAAATTTGCCAGAATAATGAATTATAATGACAACATTTTAGACATTATTTTTCAATATAATCGATCGATTATTATCCATGGAATTCCGGTGCAAGTATGTTTAACCTTCCTTTGTTCTTTCGCTTTCATTGAGTGTTCCGATAAAATTTTAACATGTTTAAAGACTTGCCTAAAACTACAGACACGAAATTATGCGCCCATCCAGTGCACAGTTTGGCCTCGTGATGATTCAATTCGTAGTAATATCTCCAGTAGCCAAAAAATCTGTGCTCACGACGTTTTCTTTGTTCACAATTGTCTGCTACGTTTCGCGATGTATACTTAATGATTTGCCTAAAATTTCAGATAACTTTGTCTAATAATATCACGTTTCAAGCAAATCATTATGTATACAAAAGATAAGAGTGCGAAATGTATTGACACATATGAACAAAGATGGCGCTGATTTATAAAAAACAGAGCTGTTGAAAAAATTACTCGCATGTAAGACATAAGCACATTAAATATGGATTAAAACCAGTTTTGTTATCAAATTATGTTAAGTTAATCGAACTTGTTCTCACACATTTGGATCATTTTTAAATCAACCGCATATCAAAACGGAACAAATTTTATTATCCATGGTTTTAATAAACATTTTGACGGACTCGACAAAAAAATGATATTTTTGGCCATCTCGACCCAGGCTCGATATGCTTCGACCGACTCGACCCATGCAGTTTATGTTTCGACTATTTTCGACTGAGGAAGGACATTTCGACCAAGTTCGACCGAAGAAAAACGTTGCGACTGAATTTGACCGAGGATTTTTTTGAACGCGATGAATGTCGACAAAGACAAAATATATCGAATGTGTTTTTGAAACCATAAGCAGGCCTTATCTTGGCGGTTCTGTATACTAATAGCAAATATGCTGCTCTAGCTAACTGTATTTTAAAAGTCTTAAGAATTACAAAAATACACAGGTTCGCGTTCTTGGTGCGTTTTTGTTTGTGTTCCATTTCGTTTCGACCGGCTCGACTTAATGTTTCGACCTTGTGTTCGAATTTATGTTTCGACTTCGTGTTGGTTTTTAGGTTTCGACCAACTCGACTTTATGTTTTGACTTTGTGTTCGACTTTATTGTCTTGTTTGTTACCGTGTATAATTGTTCCGTCATTGTTGCGTAACTCACTACAAGGTTAATAACTACACTTAAGTGAGCAATAGAATTTGAAAGTTTTTGATTAAAAACCCATTTTGTACATATGTGTGGTGCGATGATGAGCTAGTTCTGCTATCCGTTCCTTTCCACCTATCATTCAAAAGTCTGCAGTGGTGTGAGGTCATGCATCACGTGTACTTGTTGATTGAATCTGATGCATCAGCTGGCATAGCAGCCCAGAACAATATACAAACACCTAATGGCTCAGCTTCCTATTCTGTTCTGACCTCCTTTGCCGAAGAGTGGGAAACCATTTTGCATTCAGGTCCCTTTTCTCCAACTCATTTTGACTAACTCAAAAAAAGTCCCAAGGGGGGTCCGTTTTCAAGCATTTTTGGCTGTGATTTGGTTTCTAAAACTTTTTTTAAATCTGTCATTGGTGAAAATGAATGATTTAGCGCTCTTTGGTCTCCGAAAATCCATCTCTGAATCAGAGCCGAACTTTGCTGGCCATGGTCATCTAGGCATGGTCAGAGTTCAAATGATGAGAGTGTTGTAAAAGTTCGCTGGAACAGCAGTAACTATCTTTGGCAGGTCATCCCGGGTTTACTTTTCAGAATCCCGGAAGATGGAAAATGTTTCCGATTCATTTATGATACAACCTTATTTATCACTTTAACCACGCTTAAGTTGGACAAGCACATGATGAGCTATGTTGACTACTTTTGGCATTTCGCAGCTGTAAAGTCGTGGCCTCGTTCAATTTATTTTGCTTTGCTTTCCAATCGTATCATTTTTATTTGCAAGCAACGGCCATGGAACAAATGTAAATAGCATTTTGAAGTTTGCTGTTTTACAATTTGCGAAACCAAATTTGAACTTAACCTGACAAATATTATATCTTCCATTTTGTGTTCCTTAATTGGAATTAATCATTGCATTAGTTACACAAACAAAAACTTTGAAACTCAGTCATCTGTTCTGTAGATCAACTTTCCGCCTGATTTTGCCCAAACTCAATTTTGAATAAAACGTTGCAAAACGATTGGGATGGAATCTATCATGCAAGTTTTGATGCTGTCAATTTTTGGTAAGTAGCGCCCCCTTCCAAGTAGCAAGGGGGCATATTCGTTACTTCTGAAAGCAACATGCAATGTGCGTAAAGAAGCTATCAATGCAATTTTTGGAAATTTTTCGAGGTCAGGTTCGGATAGACAGAGATAAGTTACTTTGACCTATCGACAAGCGAATATGTGAACTTTTTTCAGTATAAAAAATAATATAAGTCTGAGATAAAAATGTTTTCAGTCTTCGATTACCATTAAAAGACTTGTTGTTCGAAAACTGAGGGTGTGAAAGAATTTTGGAATCGTGTTTTTTTTCATGAACCAAATCAACGTCGAGCAAGATTGAGAGGTAAATCATATTGAATCAGGGGCGTATTTAGGGAAGGGGCTGTAGTCGAGTCCCCCCTTTGTACTATTTTGAAATATCCATATTGGGTGACGGACCCTAAAATTTTTCTCAAAGGGCCTTCGGAGCCAATATATCCTAATTTTGAATGAAGAGCTTGCGCCAAAAAAACGCAAATTTTTTGGTCAAAATCTTCCAAAAAATGTCTTGTGGCGCAGCTTTGTGGCGTTTTTTTTTTCAAATTTTTGCCTGCCGCACTGAACATTTGGTCAAAAAAAGGTACTTTAGTGTGTTTTGGGAGAACTCGGAAAATCAATTTGGTCGAACTCGGAAAATCAATTTGGTCGACCTAAAAAAGTCAACAAAATTTTTGAAACTTTTTTGCAAATCCACCCCCCCCACCCACCCACCCTCTTCAAGAAAATCCTAGATCCGACCCTGCATTGAAACCCTTTCAGTCCTGATTTGTGCCTCAATGTAAAAATTTTCCCCTGTGTTGGTAAAAACGGGTCTGAAATTTTTAATTCATTTTTTCCCCTTTTTCTTTATCGACGTTTTCTTATCACGATTACTGGGATTTTATTTGAAAAAAAAAAAAAAAGTATGAAGAGCCATCCTCCATTTTTCATTTTTTGTTCAAACATTGTTCCAAAAATTCGTTCGACAATTGCGTCAGTAAAAAAACATAATGATTTGTTCTGAAACTTAATTAACATGTTATTTAGTAAATTCTGAAGCTTTTAAAGGCGTAGCCTGTCCTCGGAACATTCTGTGCTACTTGCGTAGCAAGCGAGTCCTTGTTTTTCTGTGCTGTTTTTAACTTGATATTTTTGCTTCCCTTAGTCGTCGCTGTAGTATCTCAAACGTGGCTGGGCACAGCTGTTTCTGACGAAACCGAAGGCGACAACTCCGAACATGACTCAAGGAACAGTCAGAGAAATTCATTCCTGGGCGATCATTCGACGAAGCCAACTTTGACGATGAACACTTTGCTAATTATGATCCTTACGTTGACGGAAGGTACCCTGCCGAAGCTGACCGCTTCTTCGACCCAGATCGATACCCTGCCAAAGGTCATTACGGGGCAAAGTATGATGATTCATACGAGCCATATGCACCGTATGACTATAACTATGATTCACGCGGTCCATACCCAGGAGGTCTGAGCAGCAATCCGTATCATTCTTCGTCGCCTTGCTCAAACCTTCCTGGTGGATTGACTCGAATGGCTACAGGTGTCGACATCACCAAGTTGGAACTCTTTAACATCGAATCAAATCAACCCGGAGGTTTCAAGGGTCCCATTATAGACTTCTCGTGCGAAGAGGGTAAAATGTGGACCAACTCCTATAATTCCATAACTTACCAGGTTCCCAATGAGATCTGGAAGATTGACAACGTTCCAGGGGAGTCTATCAACCGTGTTTCCATTGTGTTTCGGTCGTATGAGGAAAATAAACAGTATCTTTTAGAAATGACTGGTCTGGAGGAGAAAAATGGAATGTTTTCTCTGAGCAAAAGTTTCAGCGAGCTTACCAAAGCAGTTGAGCTAGACTCTAAAATGATCGTCGATGTCACTTCTCACCTGTTCAACACGGAAATTATGATGGAACCGCATCAGACAATTCCACTGGGATTCCATGTCGAGAGCTTCTTGGCAACTCTTGCTGACGATTACGAAGACGAGCCAGAAGGGTATGAAGAGTTCATAGAGACGTTCGGAACCCATTACTACTCCTCCGCAACCGTCGGACCCTTCATCCGAAATCAGTTCTCAGTTTCGGAAAAGTATTACTTGGAACACAATGAGGCAAACATCAAGCAAGAGAGTTTGAATTGGTTCACGAACTGGTATGATTCTCATGCTAATAAAAAGACGACTAAACTGAACATCGATAAGAATTTCGAAGCGAGTACAGTTTCAAGAGCGGAGATTTACGGAGGACAGAGTGAAATCTTTGAAGACAAAGGAGTGGACGGCTGGTTGGAAACAGCGGTTGATGTGCCCACAATTTTCAAAGGAAAACTAACACCAATTTCCAACCTGGTTGACGACCCAAGGATCAAAGCGTCCATGGAACGGGCTGTTCAAATTCACCTGGACCGCGCATTTTTAACTGAACTAAGAGAGGGTCTGTAAATAACTAGGAAAAAGTACCAAAAGGGAAAATTTCAGAACTTAGTCAAGATCCACGAGGAAGTTCAAAAAATGGCCAAGAGTAAAGTTTTGGACCATGATTTGCTGACAATGTGGGGCAAAACTGTGAAGTCAAGTTTGGCGGTTCCCAAATGGTGGCAACAAACTTACCTTTGCTACAAGTACAGCAACGATGTGCAGAATAAATATTGTAGTGGACCTACTCCGACGTGCGCCCCTGTGAACCAATTCACGGAATTGTACCAGGCAAGTCCTCCAATTATTATTAAAGCTCAACCAATTATTATTTAAGTGTCTTCTTGCAACTCCTAGCGCTTCTTCAAGTCTTTAGTGGACTCTTTGCTCTGAAGTTTTGAGCCCCTCCCCCCCCCTCCCCCTCGCCACACAATACCATATGCTACTTTGATATGTAAATAGTTTGTTCACTTTGTCTGATTGTAAGCACATATAAGAGATTTTGAGGGATTATCTAAACGAAGCTTCAATTTTCCAATTCTTGAAGGTTACTTACAAGAAGCAGCAAAAAAAGTAATTGAATATTGTAAAATTCATATTGTAAATGGAAAAAATAAAAACAATTGAAAGTGTTTTTTTTAGGTCGACCAATTTGATTTTCCGAGCTCTTCGAAAAATTACAAGGACCCTATTTTGTCAAAAGTTTCTGCGCGATAGGCAAACTTTTGAAAAAAACGGTCTTAAAATGACGTTTTGAGCACTTTTTAAAATATTTGAACAAAATATTGTTTTTATATTGGCGCCCCGAAAGCGCCTTTAGAAAACTTTTGATGTTGGCTAGTCAAAAATGGATGTCGTAAAATTAAATCAAAGGGGGGACCCTTTGGAAAAACTTAGCAATCAGGAACGTGGGGAGGGGAGCTGTCAACTGTTTCAAACTAAGTAAATACGATAGGAAAAAGTATCATAGGGAAGAACCAATTATGCTCTGTCAGTGAGCTGCGTCAAATGAAACACAAATTATTTTGGCCAACATATTACGACGTTCATTTTCATGATCATCATCATCATCATCATCCTTCAGTTTTACACCATTTTCTGGTTTTCGACGATAATTTATTGTCCAGTTCTGATGTTGTCGAATCCAGTAGAGAAAAGAAGTCGCCTAAAACTACTAATATCATGCACGGTGCCTGACACGGACGTTGTTCCATCTATGTAAGTATTTTGCCCAAGAAATATGCTCAAACATGTATGCACAAAGCCCGAGGATGCTATTGTTGCAAAACAGTAGAGCAGGAAATTGCCCAGCCCAGTAATAAGGTGATTTGAGGTCAAAACCTGGAACAGCCATTGATGCATGGTTGAATCCAATAGCTAAAAAAACCTAAGGTGGTACTTTCAGAGCAAACAATCGTTTTGAAAGACTTGAATGCGGCCATTTCAATTTAAGAAAGAATAAGTACATTTAGAAGTTCGAAGCCATAAAGGAGCTAATCATGATAATGAACAAATATAGAGCATTTCCAAGTTCAATTTTTAACTCAGATAACTAATGACAAACGTTTACAAAATAAAAAAGATCAAAAACTGATAACAAGGTCGAATATTTAACAGCAACAAGAGGCTTTAAGCGGCAATCACTCACAAAAATAAATTCAGCAAATAGCAAGTAGAATATACGCAAAAAAAGGATTTAAATAGTTACATATATAACAATGAAAAACTTTTTATCTAGTGATGAAGCTAACCTAAAAAGTGACTAAAAACTCAGAAATTTAGCCAAACTATGACTCGGAAACGACTTGAAACACGAACTGAATTTTTTCAATTCTTTAGAGAATTTTTGAAAGTTTGAAAAACTTGATTTTAAAAGTCTCAATAATTAATTTCACACAAGTAAATGACTTTACCTTTGTCTTTATGCTTGAGTTTAGAGAATTGAGTTTATTTGGTGAATTGCAAGACAAAGAAAGAAAAAAGAAAAAGCAAAAAGGAAAAAGAAAAATCTGGTTTCTATGAACAAGTTTATGATTTTTCAATGAGGCCCCAACGGACCATTCTGCTTAACTCGAGTGCTCTCTTCAAGTGCTCTCTCATACAATTTGTTCACATTCAGGATTGGTCGAGGAAAGCGGGCGGGTGTCACATGCAGTGGGGTTTGTTCACACATCCCGAGGCGGATGATTGGTTCAAAAATGTCGAGTTCTGTTTCCGCTTCTCGTCGGAAGGAGACGTGAGTCAGTGTGGGGATGGAAAGGCTAAGGAGATCTGCACCAAAGTGAACCACTACAGTCCACAGTACTATGACCACTCCGACAGAAGGTCTGAACCGATTTTCATTTCGAGGCCAAACTGTGCACTGGATAGGCGCACAATTTAGTGTGTGTATGTCTCTAGAATCCAGAGACAAGTCTTTAAACATTAAGTTTTGTCGGAGCGATCAAAGAAAAATTAAAGACCAAAAGTAGAAAAGAGAGCGTGTCTTGTTCGCGGAATTCACTTGCTTTGGCCTCAAACCGTTTAAAAATTAATTGGGCGCAATTCAATTTGGCAAAGAGATGAGACTTTATTGCCATATCTCAATAAGTAATTTGAGATTTAGTACACCCTGTACTTTGTCACGCAGCCTATTTTCGGCTGGAAAGGCTCATATTTAAAGTTGATCATCCAAAAATGTGGAAAACAATAGGCTCTTTGTATCATTTTAAGGGCCCGGAAAATCTATTTAACCGACTAAAAACTCCAAACATTTTGAAATGACCTCATCAAATAAACTTTGAGCTGCCCGATCATAACTGATTGAAAGATTTTCTAAACAAAGACTTTCAAAATTGACGAATTTCGCTGACACTAAAGAAATATCCCAGAGATTGCTTATTTCATAGCAAAAAAAAAATACGGAAGACTTCATAAGTTCCCTTACGCAAACTTTCTTACACCCTGTTGGATCTTTTTTTTCCGTCCACTGTTTGTTTGTATCCAGAGTTTTTTTTGCATCCAGTGTTTTTTGCATGCAGGAAAGGAGGCTGTCAAATGGAGTGGAAGATATACGCCAAAAACACAGACCTCATTCCTGCCTGGTTCGCCAACACTAAGCTGTGCTACATGTACAAGGTAAGTCATTTCATCTCATCCATAACCGCAATATGGTGGGGGCGTAATTGCGGAATTTGAAGTGTTTTTGAAAGTTTCATAGTATTCGCTTGGCGATTATTAACTTTGCCTTTACCGTCTACCAGAAACATTGTGGCACAGATCAAAGAGAAAAGAAAGCTTTTTGAAAAAATTGTTCATGACACTGTTTGTTTTAAGTTATGAAGAGTGATTTACAGATGAATCCTAGCTTTTCGTATATCCATATTCTTCAGGAGCGGAAAATATGGATAGTATATCCATATTTTTTCTAGGAATTTCCTAGGGGGTTTGGAAATTGCTTTTCGCTTTTCTGAGCGATCCCAGCACACTATAAAGAACCTATTTTGAGTAAAATTTTTTCGCCTAAAAAACAGGTCAAAAAGGCCGTTCTTGGGTACTTTTTCAAAAATTATGACCAAAAAATTGCGTTTTTTTTGGTGGCGCACGCTCGCCCTTTAGGTTTGGTCGGCCAAAAATGTATGTCATAAATCAACACAAAAGGGGAGACCCTTTGGTTGGCGAGGGTTTGAATCTCTGAAGCAGATCTTCCTGACAACACCCCACCACCTCCTAAATCCGCCCCTCTTATGTGTTGTACTTAATTTCTAAAAACCTGTCGTAATTCGCACAGGCACACATCAAAATGAAGTCGAACCCGCGTGAGCTGAAAAGAGTGTGTTCATTTGTGAATGAATACACCCCCGCCTATTTGGATGACTCACACTTTCACACCTACCTGCGCTACACAGAGAACTTCATCCAGTGGGGTTTGACTGATGTCCTCGGATGAAAGCGGAAGACACAAACTCGATATAACTGCAGCAAAAAAAAATTAATATAATGGATTTAAAATAGAATTGAAGTTCTCGAAGTCTAATTATAATCTATTCTAATGGCACTTTTTTTAGTGCACAGAATTGTGTTCACTCGCTTCTGGATTCCACGGACACATTTTTGTTCCGACTTTGGAAGACTGTATATCAAACAAAATGAAAACCATGCTCATCAATGGCCTGGTCTTAAGTCATCTGCAGTATTCGGCGGTGATCCTTGCAACAATAGACATAAATCTTATGAGAACACGCAAAAAAAAACAATTAAATTGGGCCGTCAAAGCCTGCTTTTATGAACGCAAATTTGTTTCTTCTGGTGAACTTGAAGCAAATGTTCTTAAATATTCTTCTTGAAACCTAGAATAACAACATAGAATATCAAAAAATTGAAGACAAATTAAGTCTCAGCAAAAACCGGCCTTAAACCGGAAAAGTGTCTAATCTTACCAAACTCAGGATTTTTTTACTATCTTGGAACTAAGAAGCTCTTCTTCATCAAACGCCCTCACGGCAAGATATTTGATAAAAAGTGTTACTAGGAAAGGATTTCTGCTACCTATAAACATCCCACTCAAATACTTAAGCGACTTTGATTCTACGAATAAACCATCAACTAAGATCAGATACTACATTTGTTTGATCAATCTAAAAAGGACCCAGGCTAAATGGCTGATGGCAAAGTATGTTGAAAAGATTTTACATTCATCTAATGAACGTCCAATTTTGATAATATTATTCACTACAAAAAAACTCAGCACTGCCTGTTTTTGTGTCATTTGTATAATTCTAACACACCAACAAGAATTTGGTGTTTGTTTTATTTTTTAACGTACCAAATTTTGTTCCTCACAGTCTAAATACACCAAATTGTGAATTTCGTGGCATGAAATTTACGAGGGATAAAGCGAAGTAATTTTTTTTATTCGATTAATTTTTCAACGAAAAAATTTTCAAATTAACCTTAAAGTGCAATCGGAACAATCTACACTTTGCCTTGAACTATGATCACTTTTGTTTTTTTTTCTAATTGTTTATTAATTCTCTTCAAAAAGAAGAGTCTTAAGCTCAAGACTTTCAAAACCTTGATAGTACAGTACAGTACATCAGAACCAAATTATGGCGGCTACCATCTGGTGCAATTTGTTATCTGAAACTCTCAAATTGAGGATTTATATCCACAATGATAGCAATCAGCGTAATAAAGCCCAGAGTACTCAAAATCGTCCACGGATGATTGGGTCCCGACCAAACCATATTTTTCAGAGTTTGTCTCCACTTACCAGGCAACGTAAATGGATAATGAGGAGTCACACATTCCTTCTTCGGCAATGAAGCAACAAAAACACATTTTATGGAAGCGCGGTGCTCAAATTTCTTCTACCAAAGAAAGTTTCGAGTCTCTCGAGGCAAACATCGGCAAAGGTTAACAAAAATTGTTTCTAGGAAGGCATCGGTTGTCAAGGTTCCGTGGAGTCAGTGCCTTCTTGGGGACTAGTCCTGATATAAATGTTGCCGTTAACTTTTTTCTCTACTCACTCTGAGAGAAAAAGTAGCAGAAAAAGTAGTCTTGAATGTAAAGGAAAATCAAAAAAGTTTCGATAACTTTTACACTAATACCTTCTAATAGTACACTAACACCTTCTATTAGTGCCTCTTTTCTATCAAACAGCTCCTGAAAGCGGCAATTTGAAAAATTACTAAGACAAAACTGAATTTATAATCTTTTGTAACAACCACAAAGACATAAAACCAAGAGCTTCAAGTTGCTGGACAGCTAACAGAAAAAAAAGAACTATTATAACAATCTGATATGCCGGGTACATGTCAAACAGCTACTCTTGAAAAGAGCTTATATACAGTCAGAGGCTGTATTCCAAACAAAATGAAAACCATGCTCATCAATGCCCTGGTCCTAAGCCATCAGCAATTTTCGGCGGTGATTCTGGCAACAATAGACCAAAATCTTATCATAACTTATGAAAAACAACTGAGCCTGTTTTGATGAACGCCAAATTGATTCTTCGGTTGTACTTTTTTTAAGAGTTTGTCTCAACTCTCCAGGTAAAGTAAATGGATAATGATGAGTCACACAATCCTTCTTTGGCAACGAAGCAACAAAAAATACATTTTAGGGAAGCGCGGTTTTCTTCTTGCTTCGAGCTCTTCCAGAAACATAAAATTGATTTTTGATATTTGTTCATCAACACCGGCAGAGGTTCACTGAAGTTGTCTCTAGGGAGACATGGGCTTACAAAATTCGGTGTAGTTGTTGTTCATTCTTTCATTGTTTGAAATGGAAAAACTGTTCGTTCATTAAAATTTTGAGAGTGGAAAGATTTTTCAGCATTTAAGACTGGAAGATTGTTCGTTCTTTCGGTTTTTGAGATTGGATAAGTGTTGAATGTTTTGAATATTTGAGATGGGAATGGTGTTCTTTCTTTCAGAGTTCAAATTTTTTGCAGTAAATGAGACTAAAGTGTAAAATACTTTTGGTGGTGAGCCACAAAAATAGACTTAATTTAAAAAAGAAGATTTAAGACGTAACTACATATAAGGCTTGAATTTGCAAACAAAAAGTGGGTTCCGCTTACGTTTGGCGGATTCCACTTACAATTTGCGGATTCCGTTTACAGCTGCGGATTCTGCAACAGCTCAATTTTATTATATCTATTTTTTATTATTCGTTGTTGGATTCCACATGTTGTTCCATATTCCGCAAACACTGTTGCGGGTTCCGCAAATTCAGATTTAAAATTTCAGAGTTCAAACTGTTGGCAATGAAAGAGACTGAAGTCTAAGACTGTCTGGCTGGTGAGCCACAAAAACAGACTTAATTAAAAAGTGTAATTTTAAGACGTATCTACATAAAAGACTGGAATCTGCAAACAAAATGTTGGTTACGCTTACGTTCTGTGGATTCCACTTACAATTTGCGGATTTCGTTTACAGTTGCGGATTCTGTAACAGCTCAATTTTGCTATATCTATTTTTTATTAATCGTTTGTGGATTCCACATGCTGTTCCATATTCCGCAATTACTGTTGCGGGTTCCGCAAGTTCGCATAGTTCTGTAGCGATTTGAGCGGTACAGTGTTTTAGCCATTTGTTTGTGGCAACAAAAACAGCAACAAAATCGACAAACGTAGCAGAGTTGCGGCTTGCGCGACGAATTCTATTTTGTCCTTTTGGGAAATCCAATTACAATTCTTATAATTCACAGGTTGGTTTGGTAAAGCGATCATTTTAAATAGAATTTCTTAATTTTTGATCCAATTTGGCCTTGTAATCCTTTTCTAACGATCTCTGAAACTCTAGCCTTTTAACGAGGGGAAGGGGTTGCGAGCCGATAAGTTTTCTTTCTGTTCAAAAACTATCATGAGGCTGCCTTCGGCGTCTAATTATTATCCTTTTCTTGCTCCGAGCATTTGAAAAATGGGGAGGAACTTCGTATTCGGCGGGTGTGTTTACGTTTTTATTTTTCGTTGTATTTTTTGTTTTTCACGAAAGTTTAGTTACCAAAAACAATCAATGGAGACATTTGAATGATATATCAAATTAAAACCATTCGAGTCACGATTCGAACGACCTTTAAAAGTTTCAAAAAAATTGTTTAAACTTTTAATTTTCGTCTTATTTGGAGAGAATAAAGCAAAAGAGCAGGCTTACAATAGCTTACTTTAATGTCTTAAAAGCTTACAATAGCTAAATATAAAACAATTTTTGTAGAAAACGGACTATCATCATAAAAAAAATATTTTAAAAAATACCAAAAATTTGATATATTTTTTTTGCAAGTTTTAGAAGTTTCTGATTCCGAAAAGGCGCAAAAAAACGAGTCAATTTTAGTTTTTACTTTTTAAAATATAAAATTTACTCAAGTAACGTTTGTTTTTTTGCGCCTTTTTGGAATCAGAAGCTTCAAAAACTGCAAAAAAAAGTATATATTAAAATTTTGATATTTTTTTCATTATGGGAGTCTTTTTTATACAAAAATTGTTTTTCAGTTTGTTTATTTTACTATGCCTCTCAAATATGCCTTATCTTCAGTTTTTCGTTCAGCTCTTTTTATCACACCACACCGAAAAAAAGACAGAAATTTGAAAAAAACGTTTTTGTTCTAATTTTCAAGACTATGGTTGGAACGTTCTGTGCTACATTCTGTGCTAATCAGCTATCCTTGCTGTATTTAGAAAAAAATGCATTTTCCCTTCATTTTTCAACTTTTCGGTCACACTGAGCAGTAACTGTAAACCTTGAGCGCGATCGAAACATAATACAACTTTGTTCAAAGAATTCTCTTGGTTTTCCTGTAAATTGAGACAAGAAAATAAAGCACCAATTTATTGATATTTATGATTGTATAGGCAATAGAATGATTATACCCAAACTTTCAACTTTTGGCAGAAGAAGTATGCCAATAGGAAATTTTATTAACTACAAAAAATGACCCGCAATTTAATTGCAATGTTGCAAAAATTTATCACACTACAGTGCTGATTTAAATTATCCGGACAAAACGAACAAAACTTGAATTTTCAAACGCGTTTTTCTCAAATTGGGTTAAGATTAGACAAAAAATGAAGAGAACAAAATTGCTTAGAATTTCACCAGTAAGAGGCTTCGTGTGATATAATTTTCTTATCAATTAACAAGGTAGTTTCCGCGTATTTCTTGATTAATTGAAAAAAACCAAAATAACCCATTTTTGGGGTAAACTTTTTGTTGAGAATTTCGGAGAAAAAACGGCACCATATTAATTCTGGTGAAATTCTAAACAACTCTTCACTTTTTGTCTAATCTTAACCCAATTTGAGAAAAACGCGTTTGAAAATTCAAGTTTTGTTCGATTTGTCCGGATAATTTAAATCAGCACTGTATTGATGATATTTTAAATGTGACACAAAAATCTTTTTAGGCTCTTTTTCCTCCCCCCCACCTCACATGAGCTTCAATGTATATGTAAAACGAGTGGTTTTACGAGGTTGAGTATGAAGACTAAAAATGTTTGTCGTGGCTTTATTAGTCTATATGTAATTTTCATTAC